CTGAAGCCCAGCTTCCAGTTTCTTTTACCGATAACCGGTGATTTCTTCTGTTCATATTCAGTCTTATTCAACTGTTGCTCAGAGGAATCTTTGTCTCCTTCTGCCCTTTCAGTCTGGTTGACCCGTTGTACATTCATACAAAATAACATCTATTCGTAAAGAGCATTTTCTGCAACCTAAGAGCATGAAATATAATTCAAACATATCGTCCTCTCATCCATCTGACTGGAACAAATCCAGCTTTTGTGGCAGGCCATCCTAACTTTTAAACAGCAGTGTATATCCAACCCACATAAAGTAATCAAACCTACGGTCAAAAGCAATGAATTAAGATCTGCTACTAGCAGTAGTAGTAGCAGCAGAATAGTTCTTTATGCACTATGTGTGTGTGTACATCCACCCGCCATCACACCATCACACTCTCATCCTTCATGCAAATTATGGTAGATGAGTTCTTCCAGCTGTAAACGAACAGATAAACCAAGTGGCTACATGATAAATGTAGGACATTAATAAGACCAACGCACAACAGAAAAGTTTGCAAACAAATCTGATGTAAATGCTTACTTACTCATAATACTCAACTTCATCATCACACAGAGGGACACTCCTCTGCTGCAAACCCCCCAGTAGAAAGGCCCTTCATGTTGCATCTACTTCATATCGTCATCCGTAAAAGACATATTGAATGAGCAACTGGTTGAGCTGGAGAGCATTGATTGAACATTGACAATACATGAGTACACAGCAGTGAAAAGGAAAGAAACACTGTCAGTCTTTCCCTTGATGTCGGACACAGCTGCACGTACACAGTTCAATAGGCGCATTAACACAAAACACGTAACGAGTATCGATTCTCTTTCGTCTCTCTGTTGTTTTTTTGCTGAAACCTCGCGTGTGAATGTTTTCGTCTCCACGCACCTTCTTGCGTTCCAGTCCGTGCCGGCTGTCTGCATGTTCTGCATGTGCACTGTGTGAGGAATGCGTTAAAGGGTGACGACGCGCGTGTGTCTGTGTGTGTGGCCTTCGGGAGAAGTGGAGCCAAACTGAAGCCTTATATAACCGGCTTAGAAAGTGAGCTGCAGTCGGCCGGCAACACGGACACGGCAAAGAGAGAGAGGAGAGAGGAGAGAGAGCGGGGAGGAGGCAGTTTCACAGAGGGGGAGGAGGACAAATAACTTTAGGTGCAAAATACCCTCGAGCAGCTTCTCTTATGCATGTAGCACAGGTGATGGTTACAACATCTGGAAAAGAACATGCGTCATACAACTGCTTTAGTCTAATTCACCTTTTTATGTCCTTTTTTAGACATGTGCTGAAATGTACTATTACTGTTCTGGATGCATTATATTTGTATTTGCTGTGTGTGTGTGTGTGTGTGTGTGTGTGTGTGCAGGGGGTTCAATTGCACACATCTTCCTCAGCACCTTTGATTGGAAAGTGAAATGTCCAGAAAAACAGCTATTTTTTCCTCTCTTTCTGCTTGATTCACACTGCTCGGCTCCTCGCCCACTCGTTGCAAAAAGATGCCAATCAAACTCCGTTTTTACTCTTTCTCTCAGCGGGTTGCCAGGCCGGTAATGGCTGCTTGATTTTCTGCTATCCCCATTCTGTGTATTTTCCTCCCCCAAAAAAAGTGTTGCGATGTCTCGTTTCTTTAATGGGCTGATTTAAACCTCTTTATCACTCTGACATTGTGCTGTGTGTCACGAGAGTTATAGGAATCGTATGTAATCAATTGGCTGCAGATGTAGTTTTTACTCCCATTAGTTAATTATCTTAAAAGAGAAAAGACAGTATTAATCCCTACTTCTATTTCCCTGTTTGAGAGAAAAATCTAAACTCAAGGTCCACTTACTCGCTCCGTCGTGGCTTTCAGCTACATCTCACCTTCCTCAGTTGAATGAGTTTGCCCAGGTCTCCATCGCTGAGGGAAAAAGTTCCATGAAAAGCCAGTAAGAGGACCCTGAGCTCAGGAAACAACTGTATCCAAGGACAAGAATGAACTTACACGCTCAGCGATTTACCAGATTTTCCTGGTGGTAAAAGCTACTGAAAAGCATCTTAAACCTCAAGCTGTAGCCACACATATTATGAACGTCTGCTTTCAGGTTTTTAAATTCAGTTTACAGGTTGGTAAGAAAATATTGTAAACCTTACCTTTAATGTTATAAATATTACCTTTCAGTGTCATTTTAAAATCCATTAGCCGTCATGAATCAAGTGTGATGCAGTGTTTTTTGATGGGGTCCATGGATGGCGGTGTTGCTCAGTTAATCCGTCCACCACTGTGGTCCAGACTGACGTGTCTCATTAACGTTTGGCCGGATTGCCATGATATTCTGAACAGGCATTCATGGTCTCCAGAGGATGATCCCCTGATATTTCACGGCAGGTCAAATGTATCACTGAAGCGGTGGAACGTCCACCCAAACATGCACGATGCCCAGACAATGAATCCTTATGGTGATGCCCTGACTATTCCTAAAGAACAAGTTGACAAGACAAAATGAATGACATTCCCATCAGCCTCAGCTGTACTTTAGCTGTGTTTAGCTCTTATTAGCAAATGTTATCATGCTAAACAAAGATGGTGAAGAAAGGTTAACACGTTGACCTTACCACACAGGGGATGGTTTTTACTCCTCCCATTTACACCAACCAAGAATATAACACATCGTGGATTGGACAACTTTGGAATAATCATTTAGCGGTTCATACATTGGAAGGGAACAGGTTGGCACCAAATAACAAAGGACCACATGGAAAAAGAAACAGCTTGCAACACTAATGGACTTACAGGAAGAGCCCGCTCTTTATGAATGCTGGAGAACACCACATCTTAACTCAAGGTCTGCTTACTAGCTTTGTCCAGAGCTTTCAGCCTGGGTTTAGGGCTGAGTGATGGCCAACATCTCCTGTCACTATACAAGCTGTTTCTTTAGTAATTCAAGATAAATAGTCTCTATCAAGTAACCACATGGCTTTGGATACTCGTATGTGAATGAAATACTTTGTAAAAACTTTGGACTTTGTAAAATCAGATTATTTTCTCATTTAATTCAGAACTTTAATGCGAAATATTGAGACATTTGAGTTAGTTTGTGTTTGTTATTATCAATTTAGACGACGTAATTCTGTATCATGATATTTCGATATGAATTTATCTCATCATGATTCCATTGAACGATGATAGATGATCACAGTGAATTATCGGCCAGCCTTACCTGGGTTGTGTTCTTCATGCCTTAAATGACGTCCCTAATTGTATTTTGTGTATTTTAGGATTTAATGTAACATTTTGTTGTGTACATTTTTATTTTGAAATGTCCCGTGTTTGAAATGCTGCATCCAGGCTGCTGGACGTTCACGCGTCTAATTCTGCGGAGGATTGACAAATATTCAGCCATCTTGTCGTCGATGCTTTTAACCATTTTCTCTGTCGACGCCCCGATGAGGAGCAGACTCTTCCAGTAAGTCACGTAGTGTTAGAGAAGTTCTTTTATTTTCAAACATTCATCTGAATAAAATCCAGTTTCCTTTGCCAAACCGCAAAGTTGATTCATAAGATGAAAGGAGAAAAGTATTTTTGCAGAAGTACTTTCTTTCTGAACGCTGAGGTCAAGACTATTTTTATTCTAACATGTCTTGTGAAGGATGAGGTGAACAGTATAAATACTGTATATGGTCTTTGTTTGTCTCTTTTCTGTGACATCTGCACATGAATGCAGCGTACTGTACAATAACAATGACGACTGCGAGCATGACAGAACAAGATCAAGTTCAAAGCTGATTTTGTATTTTTTCTTAAATGCCTCACTTCCTCATAATGACTCTGTGAGAAGAAGGAGGGTTGATGACACAGTCAGGTTCCCTGAATGTGACACGAGCAGTTCATCAAGGAATAAAAAAAGAGACATGATGATGGAAGGAAGAGAAGAGGTTATTTTCCTCTTTGATTCCTCCTCTCTCTCTGTTGTCTCTTCCTTCACTCCACCACTCTTTTATAATTTACCAAATAAAAACAGCCAGTGGGCAGATGGGGATCAAACTACGTTCACCTTTTACCTGCACTCCTCAGCGCAATTAGCGTCACGCTAACTTGTCATTTCAAATTGACACACTGCTGTTGTGCTATGTAATTATTTACCCGTCTGGGGAAAAGCTCTCTGGTATAACCAGTAAATAATGACGAACACACACCCACACACACACACACACCTGGGCCCTGATTTATCTGCCACATGTTTAAAGTGCCGTTTACCATTACAGGGTCATCGTGTGTGTGTGGTTGTCTAATCAAAGGTACCTCTGTGTTCAGTGTGTCGATCTAAACAGGTCTCATTGTTGTGCAACCCTTTACATGTCCTGTGTGCTTTTACTGCTGGAAGGTTGGGGTTAAGATTTGAAGGGTTTGAGCATCAGGACCCGAACCCTGCTGCTCTTCCTATAGGTGTCCTCTTCTTTGCCTGTTCTTTCTTTTTTTTTTTAAAGAATCTGTAATTTTTCTGGTCACATGGTGGGAGGGAAGGGCTGGGTCCTGTTCTTTAAACCTCAGAGGCCTTATTACTCCACGTCCCCCCGTCCCCCTCCCCCCACCACCAACCACACCCGCCACCCACCCAGCTCCCAAGACAAAGTTAGGCTCAGGGAACAAAGAAGGTTTAACGGGGAGAGAGAAAGACGGACCATGAACAATAGCAGCCGTTTCCTTCCGCAGGGGGAGAGAAGAAAATCCAAAAAGCAGTCTTCTTTGATCTTGTGTCTTTTCTTGTGATAAATCTGTGTCTGTGATGCCTTTTGTTTTTGCTTTTGTACTATTTTTAAAGAAAAAAAGAAACCCAACACAAAACAATAAGCAACCATGAACTCTTGCTGATTTGTCCTTTTTGCTCTTTCTTCTTTTCTTTTTTGATATTCTTTTTTTTTTCGTTTTTTGCCAGTAATCTTTTTTGAATTTTGTCTTTTCTCTTTTTCCCCCCTTTTTTTCTTAACCCTAGGTCCGCTCACAAAAAAACATGATGATTCTTCAATGAACAAGCCTCGAGACGAAGGTATTTTTGTTGCATGTTTTTCCTTTTTTCTTGTTTTGAAGTCTTTTTGGGGGCTGTGTACACATAGAGTGGAAAACACACACACAAGTCAAACATCTCTTGGGTGGGACTTTGGATATGAGATGCATACCGATGTGTTGGTGTAAGTGTGTGTGCTGACCGTTGCTGACTTTTGCCTATGCAAATCCTAGCCTAATAACAATAATAATAGCCTTATATAAGGCCAGGCTAATGGAACCCAGAAACCCTTCATTATACGATCATCTGCAGGCGGTGGTTTGTGTTTTCCAGAGGTCGTCATCTGGCTCTCAAATAAAAGAGAGCCTCGGACATCATCATCTCCACTGTGCCCTTGAAAATACATTGGCCAACTAACAGCATTGTCCCAGCGCAAACAAAGCACCTATTGAGACGAGCTTACACAATGAGGTGCATTATTATTGCGCCTCAAGCCGCAGCTCAAGGATGAAATTGCTATTGAGTAAGGACCTACACAAATATTAAGCTAGCCTCATTCCAAGTCAATGATGATAACATCAAATCAAGGAAGGAACAAAAAAATAGAAATTGGGGACATCCCAGGACACTGGTGCCCTACTTTGGAAGATTACACGGTGGAGGTGATTTTATCTGCTCTCTCACCCCCCGCCCCCCCACCCTTCCTTGTTCTTCTGGACTTGTTTCTTGGAGAAAAATATGACTGATGATATTTTGATACATATTTCTCTTCATGCTATTTGGAGAGGGTTGTGAGGTTGAGTCTTTTTTTTTTTTTTTCCTTTTTTTCTTGCTCTTTGATTTGGGGTATTTTTTGAAGTTGGGAGTCGAAGGAAGTTTGACACAAGAGGATTTTCTTGGTGATCAAATGCACCGGCACAGACGCAACTTTTCTTCAGCCGCCGCAGTCAGCAGGCATGTACAAAAACAGCCGAGCCCAGTCAAGAGGCTCTCCACCTTCCTCTAAATATGTATTTCATCCCTCGAATGAGTAATTCACAGATACTTAATAATAATTATCTTGCTTAACAATATACAAACAAGTTTCTCTGTCAAGAAAAAGGTAGAGAATGTACTTTGCATAAGACTACATATAGGTTGGAAGAATACAGGTAACCCTCTGCCGCTGGACAGGTATACTGGAAATGACTCACTAATATAGTCCTGTTAGTTACACTGGTACCAGAGCATGAGCCGGGATTCTAGTACCACTGAAGTCATTATTATAACCACAACCCCATTCATTGAAAAGAATAAAAACTTGGCAAGTCACTAAAAAAGTTCAGCCTGTAAAATTTTAGGATTATTACATTTTCTTCTCATTTTCTTCAATCATATATCTATAAAAGGTTGGTTGCACATGGTAATAGTTATATCAGTGATAATAAAGTTGTAATAATACCATGCAATAACCAGGTAATAACTTGGTATTAACAATGTGTGTATCTGGGTAATATTACACTGAAATGGATGTTACTATAATTAATTCTGTACATCTTACATAAATAACCATATAAGATAGCAACGAGTCAAAACAACAATGTGAGAACCTGCTAACAAAATGGTGATACGGTGACATTAATGTGATAATAACCTGGTAATAATGAGGTAATATAGGTTGATATTTTCACAATATTATAGGTTACTATCAGCGTAATATCTCCGGATCTGGACCCAGACTCCATTGTATCCAGACCCTGAACTTAAAACTGATAACTGGTAATTGAGAATTATAAAATTTTGACGGAGCGCTTCTATTTTAACCGGCGCAGCTTTTCTAGCCTTTACAGCACACCGACCAGTTACATGCATTGTAAATCACATCACGTGATGCTGCTTAGCCAATCAAATGTGTGTATTCCAACAAGTTTCCCGACTCAGATGAGATTTACACACAAGGGGGAGAGACGAGGAAGAGTAGGAGGATTACGTGAGTCAGAGAAGTTATTTCTCATGACGTTCTCCAAAAAGAGAAAAGCGGTCAAAGAGTCCAGCATGTCATTATGTTCAGAGACCGTGACCATTATTAAAAGTGGTAAATGAAGCGCCACTACGAGGCAAAGAACAAATCTTCTTAGCAAACGTACCCACTCGAATCCGAAATGAAGTCACAGATAACACACAACCTGAGAGCCCCATATGATCAGAATCCCAACACGTTAATACACTGACCAGCCATGATGTTAACAGAGAGGAATAGAGCTGAAACAAGTGTTAATAACCACAGATGTAACGTTAGTCCCTGCACACAAATCCCTCTTATTAGAAGATGAGAAAAATATAATATGTTTTTTTGGTTGACATCACTTCACCCTGAATGAACTCAATTTAAAGCTGCAGGGCAATTCAGTGAAATTAACTTTTCTAAAATGAAGTACTTTATTTTTCAAAAGCTTTCTGTGATGTCATTTATTCTTTAATCCAGCCATTATTTTACTTGAAGCGAGAGAAGAACATGTATTTATGATTAGAGTATGTATTATTTATGATTCATCCAGTTCAATTAGAAATCTGACAATAACTATTGTTGAGATATTATTTAATTCAACTTTCTTTATTTGATTTGACAGTCAGTTGTTGACTACAAACAGATGTGTTGGCTACTTCATTATATATCTGGGACTAAATCATAGAACAAGTTAAACATTATTGTGATGTTCCGGACCTTTGCATGAGGAAGTTCTCTCTCACTGGACCTCCAGCGCAGTGAGGTCGGAGACATCGAGTGTCCAGCGGTTCAACTTTGGAAACACATTGGATTAGCATATTTATAGATTCTGTGTTTTTTCAGCGGGGGAGAATAACTAGATTTGATTTGAAGAATATTTCATAAGGAAGTCAAACCTGTTCATGAAAAATCTAAATCGGACACAAATTATTGTTCATACATATTCATAATTACATTATTCATACAAGCCGCGTATTTTTATGTCTCAAAACATGTCTGGAGGGGATCTTTAAATACATTTAGTCAAAACAGTGATATTAGAACCAGCCTCGTGTCAGTGCAGAATGAAACTGCTCTTCAGGTCGCTGAAGAAAATTCTGCAAATTTCCAGAAACTATACACAGAGGACATGAACTGACCTCATTGATAGCTTCGGCCCTGATGGTAATCACCGTAAACGTCTATTATGATAAACGCAGATCGCCGCTACAATACTGTACTAATAGTGTTAATCTAAGCACCACAATTTGTAATTTGCAGCCTCAAATGGATTGCATTTGGATGCAGAAAAGGTGCTTTGCTCGTCTAAAAACAAAGCTGAAGCGGGACTGGTTTTGTACAATGTCTGCATTGTGTCAGAAATACAGTGAAACGGGCACAATGGGCAAGTTGTTTGCAGTATGACCTTTTGGCTACTTCCTGCCTGGTGGATATGATTCATGCACATACTCATGGCTGTGATACATGATTCCAAGCCACTCAGAAGCCTGACCTGTGCAACCTTGCACCCTAAGCCAAAGCACTGTTCACTGTCAAAGACCGGCAATGGTTTGAGTTGTTAGAAGCCAGATTCAGAGTGTGGAAAACGGTTATAATCCGACGTAAGCGTGGCAGAATCCTTCCTCAGTCGGTTCCTTCATTATTTTTCCGACCAACAAATAATATCTTTTAACTTGCCGGACAATTTCCAATGAACCAACCCTAAAACATGGCCGGCTTTTTATCTGTTAATGGCGGCGGCCGGCACAATCAGTTCATCAAATTCGTCCTCATTCTCTCCTCTGTGTATATCAACAGCCATTTTTCCAAATTGAGCGTGCTTTCAAGCATGAAGCGTGAAAACCTATTCATGAGCTATTACACACACTCTAAAGTGGAGAGGAGCAGCGAGGACTTAAGGCAGCATCCTGTGCCCAGAGAGATGGCTCCATTCAGCAGCAGTGGGACTTGCTCTCTGCTCTGCGTCAGATGTGAGAGAGCAAAGGCTATTGGGCCGCAGTGCTGCTCAATGTTGATGTTCAGAAAGATTGACAGGGCTTACAGCACAGCTCTGTGTGTAGACGTGCGTGTGTGTGTGTGTGTGTGTGGAGAGGATTACAAACCAGAGCGAGATTGAGTTAAATCAAGAAAGAGACAGAGAGAGTGTTACTGTGCCATCCTGTGTGTCAGCTCTGATCAGAGACAAACCAGAGCCACCTGAGCCCCAAAACTGGAACATATTTCTGCCAAGAACAATGTCACCTCTCTCTGACACACACACACACACACACACACACACACACACAGAATAATATAAACAGAGCCACACAATACACACATGCCCGGAAAAAAAGGAAATGTTCCATCAAAACCAAATTGACATACACAGATGAAGTTCAGTTTATAGCAGCAACACTAACTTTTAAAACTGGTTGCCAGCCGTTGGTTGCCGAAACTGACAATATGGTTGCCATTGTTAGTCCCCTAATATTTTGAGTAATTAAGATTCATTTTAGAAATGTATCATAAAAGAATAAAAGCTTTATGTTCTTTGAATTGGTTGCCAAATTCTTACTGTTGCGCCCTGATGAAGCCATGCAGTGCAGGGATAACCTACAGTAGCAACACTTCTACCATTGTTTACAGTGACGTACATATTTAGGGATTTATGTCAATTGAGAATAAAAATAAACGCTTTCTGATTCTGAAATGATACTGACAATATAAAAAAAAAAAAAACTATGCAATGTATGTCGGGAAACAGTCAAATAATATCAACTGTTCTTCCATCTGCTTCATTATTTTTATTCCATAAAGAGGAATAAGGGAGATTGAAGAGAGCTGCAGGAGGTTATATTAGGTGATTTGAGAGGCAGGCGTAATGCAGTACTTCATTAGATTCTGCTGATCTGCAATCTGCAGCCAGTCACTTCAAACTCCTCACAGGTGCCTAAAATGCTAAAAATCCATTGAGATTAGCCGCCAGCAAATTACAACCCGAGTAGAGCCTCTAGATCCTGCACTCTGATGAAATGTGTCCTGGCCAGTCGAGTAAAACAGAGATAAATAAGTCAAA